GAACTCCTCTCGGTCATAGCTGTTATCGATGCCCATGCTGGCGTAGACACCCGAGTCATCAGCGGTCTGCGGGTTCGAAGGACCCTCTAGGGTCAGCTCCATTCGTCGATGCTTCTGCTTGATGCTTTCCTTAGTCGGAGGTGGGACCATGGGTAATCAGACACGATGAGAAACTCAAAAGCAATCCGCATCCTCACTCACTTCCAGAGATCTGTCAGGCATTAGAATTTCAAAAAATCATCGGGCGAGCGCGTAATCTATTAGAGTCGCGCGCGCCATGTGATCCGAGTTGGTAAAGGGTAAGTGACGAACTCAAACGAGGTCGTCCATCTCACATTCCATTGGCTCTTACAGTAAAAGTTCATGTCTCGTCGAGATCAAGTCATCGTCGAGTTCCAGTGTGGGAAAATATGCACATGGTCAACTACGTGGTTATGGGAATTCTGAGGAAATTTTGGGAAATTCTTCTTAATTTCTATACATCTCTACCCGAGCTCGTACGAATAAGAAAAGTCAGCAGAATTTTCCAAAAAAATTCCTGAAATTTTTTTATATTGTCACAATTATACGTCGTCGAGCATGTGCAAATTTTCCAACACAACCGCGCTCTTCAGTTGCTGTTTGCTAGAAAGCTAATGACGGCTACATATAGTGGATACCCCTCATCGACTCACCCCTGGCATAGTAAGAGGTACTACCAAGGCTCGGCTCTTACCTGGACCTTCTTGACCTATGTGTGCCTGCATGCTGTGAGGAAAGCTTTCTCTAATGCTACACCCAATATGAAGGATTACTATGGGTACTCCACTACTTTCTTCGGGATCATGAATACTCTATTTATGCTGTTTTATGCAATTGGTATGTTTTTCACGGGACCATTAGGAGACATCTATCATCCAGTTAGGGTCTACTTCTTTATGGCTGCGCTCTGTTGTGTCACTCAAATCGTATTCGGCGATATGGTCGATGTGGCGACACAAGAAGGATGGTATTACTTCTACTACCTTTTGTGGATTGTCAATGCCATTTTTCAGTCTGGCTGTTGGCCAGCTTCTGTTGTTATAGTCGGGCAGTACTTCCTTCCTAAATATTATGGTACAGTGTTCGGCATCTGGTCCAATAATGCTAACGTGGGCAACATCCTTGGTGCTGCTATGTGCACTCTTATGATTGGGGTGTTTGGTAACGAGGCGTCGGTAGCGTGGCAGTTCTTCGGTCCAGCAGTGGTCCTTCTGGCTGTCTCCGCCTTGATGCTTTATTTCCTCCCCCGAGACCCGCAGTCAGTCGGTCTTGTTATACACCCTGACAACGCTCTAGAGGAACCCCTGAGCCGCGATCGAGGGGAAACTAACGAGAGTACGAGCGAAGTCGCTGCGGAAGAGACACTGAACTTTCTTGCTGCCTGGAAGGCGCCGGGCGTGCTGATGTACTCTTTTTGCTTCGGCTGTATCTCCGGCGTTAATTACGCCATGTTCTTTTGGTTGCCGCTCTACCTCACTGAGCATGTTGGTAGGACCTCCGCCGAAGCCAATGCTTATGATATGCTTTTTAATTTGGGTGTTATTGTCGGTACTCTCGTATTGGGGGTTGTTTCTGACTATTGTACGGCCAAGTGCGGCGAGTCTTGTCGAGCTCCTCCTATGTTTGGGTTCCTAGTGCTAGCCATCATCCCTATCGCCATGCTCCAGGCCAGCCGTCCTTCTACCAGCTTCCTCACAATCACTGTCTTTACCTGTGGTTTTTTAGTAGGATCAGTTGCGAACGTCCTCTCGAGTGTAGTGTGTGCTGATCTCGGCCATAAGATGCCGAAGAAGGCAGTAGCTCAGGTGTCGGGTATTATCGATGGTGTGGGAGCTATTGGGGCCGCTCTGATGCAGCTACTGGTGACAGTCATCGCACAGTACTCCAGCTGGGGGTACGTCTTCATTGTATTGCCTGTTGCCTTGGCACTCAGTGCTGTCATCCTGGCCAAGGTGGCCTATGAGGAAACCATCGATCTGATCAGACATTTGTGATATCCATCAGTTTAATCGCTTTTCACTAAACTTCCTAGAGCTCCCCCAAAAATTGATATTTGGCAGTGTGTTGTTCCTCGGCAAGTTCATCTCAGCTACCGATGCTAGTTGGTGTTGCTAAGTGGGAAGGATTAGTCTATTTGTACGGTAGACACCATTGGTCTCCCTCGACAGCCAACCCCCTCCGATCTATCCCCCCCTGCAAAGGCTCTCGTGCGGGGTGTGGAGGGGCCGGTGGATTCTTTCAGTCCCGCGGCACGCCATGTTGGACTACCCCTCGTGAAGGTGCATTTCTTTCTCCATGGAATCCATTTGTTAAGGGGTGGGGCGGCTATGCCACTACGCATGCCAAATGGGTGGATTTTAGAATCATCCTGGGAGTGCACACCTCCTGAGGGACTCTCTTGCTCTCACTGAGATCCGCTTGTGGGGCAGGTATGCCATCCTTGTCCTCTCACGTAGCGTACTATGTTGATAGGAGGAACTCTGCCATATATTCAGTGGCACCTTGTCTCTTAGAGTATACACTAGTCCAAGATGACATATACTAAATTGGAGTGGTGGCATAGCCGCCCCACTTACGAGAATTGACCTTACCAATAATCGCGGGATTGGCCTTCAACGTTTTGAAGACCTTGAGAGTTTCACATGTCTATTCCGTGAGGGGGGAAATAGGGAGACTATTGATCATTGATGCTCCATTATTTAGGAATGGAGAGGAGTATGGAGCTACTCTCAAGGGATACTGAGTACTCAATAGGGCTGCTCATAGGGGGTGTCAGTTGCTGATTGAGTAAAATGCCGTGATAGTCACCCGTGCCGTTGCAATGCTGATTTGTGGTGCATGAAGCAGCTCGTGTAGTCATGGGCTCAGCCTTTCGTCGGATTGTCCCTCCACTTCAGTTTGACTGTTCCCATGTCTACCAGCGTCCCACATAAACCTACGGAATTCACTTACGTAATGAGGGGACTACGATTCCATCGTGGGAAGAATCAAATTAGTTGTCTATGGTCCGTTGTTCACGGGGCAAATGAGAGCATTCGCAGTTCCGATTGGAAGCTTGTTGGAAGTATCGAAGTTTTTCATCTGAAAATTGTCATTTATAGTATTTGTCAAAGCAGGGATGATGTTTCCATTCGTTTGACCATACCTTACTGTGCGTGCGTGCCAGCATAGGGTTATGGTGATAGCGGGCCGTAGCAGAGGCGGTTACCAGGCTGCTTGAAATCGTAAATTTTCTTCACATTCACGTCATCACGACGTGAACCCGG